GTTCAGCAGTGGACAATTAGAGGTTGATATGATGTTGATGATGATTATCATCATCAGGCCCTATTATATCATTACTTAGCATTCCATTTTCTACAGCTATTTATATGATGCAGTAAATACTTATTTGAATAATGATCGACTACATTTTGCATGCTAGTCCTAGAGCAAGACATTTATCCATATTTCAAATTTACAATCGATAACATGTGACGCGATAGAAGTAAATATTACCTTCATATTCAATTATGGTTGCATTCTTATTTAGTATTCCAAGTTGTTTAAAAATATATAAATGAGTTATATTAACTAAATGATTAAACCACTCAATTATTATTGATAGTAGCAAAAAAGTTTTACTTATTTATGTGTTATTATTATACTTTATTATACACACTAGTAATATATATATTTTAATGGATGATAATGGAATGGCAACCCCGCCTGCGCTATCGGTATACTCCGGCGGGGTACCAGTGAGGGATGACAGGTGAGAATGAAGCAGGTCAGTTAGCCCATCCTGACAAATTCAACAACGAATCAATCATGATAGTTTCCAGGGGGGAATCGCGTGGAGATCGACCTAATTCAAATTCAAATTCAAAAATCATTTATTCATGTAGGACATTTTAGCCGCTTATGAACGTCAAATTTGTACATTATAATTTTATATTTACCCTACCGTCCAGTTTGGTATATAGATCCAATTGAGAAGAACTGGCAAGAAACTCAATTGAATTACTTTTTTTTTTAAAGCCAGTTTATTTACAATGTATATTTATATAGGTGTCTATGTCTAACATTAAATGAAAATTCAGTGCATGAACAACTATTGCCATGCACACTCGTCATTCAAGTAATCGTTTAGTGAGTAATAGGCTTTGCTCAGTAAATATGATTTAACAGATGTTTTGAATTTATTTAAGGGTAATTCCAACATATCCTTTGGTATCTTATTGTAAATTTTTATACCTATTCCCATAAAAGACCTATTAACTTTTTCTAAACGATACTTGGGGACAGCAAGTTTGTCTTTAAATCTAGTATTAATATTATGAATATTGCTGTTTTTTGGAAATAAGTCAAGATTAGGTAAGATAGGGTTTATTGCTAGCAATGAGGTTGCTAATCCCTATTACTAACAATCCCTTCTCCCCCCAATATATAATATTAATGGACGACAGAAGGGTTACCTATTATATTTGTCTGTTATATCGATATAAGCTGGTGGGACGCCAATGAGGGATGATAGGTGAGGAATACAACGGGTCAGTCGGCCGAATTCAACAAGAATTAACCAACGGTGGATTGCAGGAAGGACCTCGTGGAAGTTGACCATATAGGTTATATTGGTAACAATGGGGTTTCTAATTTCTGTTGCAAATAATCCGTTCCCTTGGGAGGAAAGTGATTGTTAGTAATGGAGACTGAAAATCCCATTGCTAGCAATATACCTAACCAGGTCGATCTCCACACGGTTCCCCCTGGAAACTATCATGATTGATTCTTCATGATGAGTTAATTCATCATGATAGGTTAACTGGCCTGTTTTCATTCTTATCTATTACCCTTTACTGATACTCCGCCAACGTATCCCGTTAGCGCGGGCGGAGTTACCAATCCATTTTCATCCAACAAAAAAAAAAATCCCTTCCCTTTTCTACGCAAATAAGTTGATGACCTGCCTACCTAGGTAAATTGGTTTTTTGCCTTTTACATTTTTACCACTCAAAGATTTAAAATATAATAAAAAATAGTCTTTACTTGTACGAATAGTCAAATCAAATGAATCAACTTATGATGGTGTTTAATTTTTTTTAATAAATACAAAGTTCTTATTACTTAATGTTCAGCTTCATCCTCAGAATATATCTATGGTACCTACAATAATTCATTGAATTGACATCAAATATTATTATAAAATTGTTCTACATGTATAGTAAGCATATTATACTGTTATTGTTCTTAAAAAATGGACTATATAGATTCAGAATCAATTAGGCATGCAGTCGAAGTTGGTATTGTTTTTTTTAATAGATGATAAAGGAGTGGTAACCCCACCTGCGCTACCAGTATATATCGGCGGGGCACCAGTGCGAGAGGATAAGTGAAAATGAAAGAGCAGGTCAGTTAGCCCATCGTGATAAATACACCTGAAATTCAGCACTATGGTTTCCAGGGGGGATATATGGACATAATATTTTATAGTAAAATACTATGAAATACCAAAAAATAACAATGTAATATTCTTAATAAAATCTTATCTGCCATCTGATTCAGACCGTCCACCTAAATCAGCAGTTTCCGTTTTGAGCAACCTGTCCCCTCCAATCTGTATTATCAGGTAAGTTACAATACTTTTTTTAGTTACTCAATCTCCAAAGCTATAGCGGATTGCTTCTTTTTCGGGAATTCCCCTACTTAATATTAAACGAAGATACAAGATTACATTGTCTGTGGAGTGAAAGGGATGGAGATTTGACTCTGACATATTTACTACATTAAAATGCAATTACGTATTTATTTATGTCTACCTACGTACTGTTTTGTAACAATATCCACGGTTCAACCATAGAATAGATATTATACCAGAAGGAAAGCTCTTTTGATTCTCTTCTTCGATTACTCTACTTTTTTAATTATTGAATGTCAATAACGATACTCACATTGCAAAAAGAAGAATTTTAATAGCTTTTTTTTTTTATAAAATCCACTAATATACAGCTGGATCATATACCCATACATATGTGTTTATATTCAGTTACACATAAGGTCACACAGTATGTTTCGTATTCAAACATGCTTAAATTTAAATGAAATTTGTTTAGGTATATTTCAACTTATTAAGACACTTTATATACTAATTCACGCGAACAAAGATGCGGAAAATAACTAGTTTCTTATAATAATATTGGTATTTTTTTTAAGTGAAATTCTTCCAAAGAGTATAAAAAAATTAATTACAAAAACATGCAGTTATAAAAAAATATATAAAACCTAGCGGTTTTTACATCGCACTCATCTCCCGATGGTCGGACATTCGATCACCGCACAATAACCACATTTGTATGTACCTATGTATATGATGTGTATGTATCAGTCTAGATATTTTCTTTATTAGTTTAGGATCTGTGGTTCTTAGCGATCTGGCATAAACCGGATTATTCAACGCGGCTTGTTTTTGTTTGTAGTGCAAAGAGCTCTGCATACACAAGCTTGGCTTGCTTGTAGTAGTGTTCTTGTCGCAACATATTCCGTAGTGTTTTTCTTTTTGGGTGTTCTGTGGCGAAGCCCTCAATTTGTGGCTCTGAGCGAACAGGAGTAAACCGGATTATTCCAACGCGGCGTGCATGTGCCGTGTAGGGCGTGGAGAGTATTACGCAGACAAGCTTCGCTTGCTTATAGTATTGTTCTTGTATTATTCTTTTTCGGTATTCTGTAGTTCAACCATTGACCCAAACCAAAATGGGAATAATTCTGTTCATTTAAAAAAAAACAAATCGTTTTCCAATTATCAAATATATTGCGTAACAAAATCACGAATAAATAATAAATAAATTTGGATTTTTTCCTTTTTAAAGTCTGTTTAATCATACATTCCATAGTCTGGAGTCTCAGTTGTACAAAGATGACGATCTCCGTGGCGTAACGGTAAGCACTATATGTAATAAGGTCCCGGGTTCGATTTCGGTAGGGCCAATTTAGGAAACGAAATTTACTAATTTTGGCTAGGGTCCGGGTGTTCTAGGTCGTGTTCCCGTATCCTAGCCTAACAACAATAAGGCGATTGGTGTAATTGTATAGAACTTATTTATTTATTAAAAATGTTCTTCAACTGCTTTCACATTGGCCGTCTGGGTAAAATCATTATGGTATGGTATTATCAGCATCATTTTTATATTTATTGTATTATCACGGTAATACCACAGTAAACAATAGGCTTTTCCATAAAAGGAGCAAGAAGGAAGGCCGCGTTAGCCACGCAACACTTATTCATAAAAATGATAAAAAGGCCAATTCGCTAACATTGCGATTAATAACTACAGGTAAATAAAAAGTATGAGGTTTAATAAATTGTAAAAGTTTGTAAAAGTAGATAAGTATTTATTATACATGTGTATAATTATATATATATAAAAAAAAACTAATTTCAGTCGAACGCTTTACTGCGTTTACTTAGAGGAATAGGTACCTAAAATTAATCTTTTTACAAAAATCTTATTTATATCTAAGGCACTCTGGGTTACAAAGTATTAACCTAATTTATTGAGGGGTGAAATTAAATTATAACGATTAAATACAAAATTACCAGTTATTATTTTCGCTTATATACATCTTTGTATGTTTTAAATATCTCGAAACTTATTCGTTTGATATAAATTGCATAATCTTATACATAAGTGATAATGAAATGTATATAAACGTACATGTTATTTAAATACATTAATTTCACCCCCTATAGAGTTCCACGCCAAATATGACGGAAAAGTCGGTGGGCACCAGTCTTTCGTATTAATTTTGACAGTCTTTTGTGATACATGCATTTCCTTATCTATCTACGAATAATGTTTTGATTAAAGCCCATGTATTCTGATACATATCGTTTCTGCGGAAGTTATAGAAAAGAGCAGCAAGCTGTCTCACTACGCAATCGAAGGTAATCAAAAATAAAACTAGGTAACATTAATTTGACGTCTATTCGATGTGATCTTCACTTGATCCGAGTTCAATTGCGTTAATGTTAGCCTGCTGGACCCTTCGGTTTGGTAATTAATAATAGTAATATGAATGCGCTAACATCAGCTATCGTTATCTAGGTACTGCAGTCTATTTTAATAATACTCGTGTTTTCATTGAAGCCTCTGATATGTTTCTAAGGTGAACTGGGTCAATTGATTCGTAACATAACTTCGCCAAAGTCAGCCATTGCTAATTAGGTTAAATTAAACATGAAAAATTTATATTTAGAGCAATGGCTGATGTTTATCAAACTAATTTTTCCATATACGAATAGAATTGACACAATCCAAATGTGTGACCAGGATTCCACTAAGTCTATTGTGTTACTACGATATCCATCTGTTTATCAAACTAATTTTTCCATAACGTCATACCCGCTGTCATAGTGTTGAAATATCTGCGCACTCAAAACAAATAAGAACCGATTAATTATATATAAGTGTAAAATTAATTTTAATGAATAGGTAGAAAAAACTTAATATTGATAAGGCGAAAGATCGATTGCCTAAAAAAATTATGCGAGGACGCGCTATAAATTCTTCAACACTAGAGTTACTCTCACACAATTAACATGTGACATCACTGGTTCTTAAATTTTAAGACTTATGAATTAAAAAAAAATATATTGCAAATACTTTACAGTCTTATTTTGATATGCTATAGGCCAGAAATACATATGTATATTACATTAATAGGAATAACTTCCCTCTTAGTCTGTGTATAATATTATTATTATTGAAACAACTTATTTAAATTTTAAAGCAATAGATTCTTACTTGTGATGTAGACGTAACATAGGTACTAAAAAGGGTTTATGGAAATCCCCATGGGAAAATCAGACCTCATAGGGCAAGCCGTGGTTTTCTTATGTCAGATCCCTTACTGGGTTGACTGCAGAGATACCAAAGTGTCTTTTAATTTTCTATAATCAAATATTTCAATTAACAAACAGATGGACTTGGTTACTATTAAAAAAATCCAGAATATAAAATACTATTGATCACTTTAACATTAATGATTACTTAATTATAAAGAAATCAGTCTATAATACAGTCTATATGATATACTAATTATTCTGTACAGTCAGACAAAAATTACTCATTTATGTATTTAAAAAATAAACTAAATATGCTTATTAATAAACACGCAAAATCACAGACTGAGTTATAACTCCACGTAATAATTTTAGGAAACCATAAAATGGAATAATAAGATTTTGCCCCTATGCTAGAAAAATAATACTAAAGCATTTTATATATAGAAATAAGTGTTGGCAATTTTTAAGAAAATAAAAAGGTTTTCAGTTTGAATGTATTGTTTGTTATGCGATTTCTTTATAAATTGAACCGATTTTGATAATTATTTTTCCTATATTGATATGTTTGATATATATTTATAGAATTAAGTCCCATTCTAAATTATTTTTTTAGAATTGAAGTGTCATATATTTTTTCCGGATCAAAATATTAAAATTTTGTCTGACTGTACCAAATTATGTATTTTGTTATTTATTAACAAAATTGGCTTCCGATTGTATTGTGCCGTTTTAATTTACTTAATAGGTTGAATTGTGCCATCCTTATTACCTGTTTGTAGTTAAATAGGGATGACACAATTTACTTATTCTATTACAGTTATATTAAAATCGGCCCAACCGTCGATACAAAAACGTATCGTTAATAATCAGAAAATGATTACAATAGCTTAAATTTTATCTTATTAAAAATATAATATTTTTACAATATCTATACACTTACAATACAAGATATCGATTATATAGGTGGGAATCTATTTTCTTTTTCTTAATAAAAGGTTAAAATTATATTTTTCAAGTGCATCACTAGTTTGCTATTTCTAGTAAAAAAATAAACTTGAAAATTCACTTAAAACTAATAAAATAGAGATCATAGAAATGTATATTTATGTATGTGCTATTTAGCTTTCATTGATCAGTCTATAGTTCACATAATAAAATTTAATTAAAATTCAGTTAGACATAGTTTCCAGTGTCAAATTAACCAATAGTTGGAGTGACATACACTGCATGAAAAATAATACACTATCTAAAACAAATTATAAATTCGTTAACAGTGAAATTTATAACAATTTTACATTGCTTCTTATTTACAATACACTGTATTTTTTACTCGCACACTTGCTGACAACTTCATAATAATTATCAAATACATACTGAAATATTACCACAGTAGAAAATAATACAAAAACTATAAAATTTGTTCGGAGATCGAGACATGATTCTTTGCAAGGTAAATCATGAATTCATATTAAGGCCAAGTTTATCATTGCTACAGGTCCACAGTTAATTCATTGAAACGTTTAAGATGAAAATAGTAAGAATAAGAGTATTAAAACGTTGTCAGATGGTAGTTGACCCATAATGTTTAGATTTTGTATAACAAATTAGTATTATGCTACGAATTATAGAAGAAAATTAAATCAATACATTTTACATACTATCTCTAAACTATGAATTCCCGATACTTTTTACACAGAACATTATATAAAAACTCACGCATTTTCCTCTATAACCAAGTTATTAGGGTCTTCCGCTTTATTTATATCAGTATCACACTCCTGATCTTGGTCCGTAGAGTTTTGAAAATCTGTTGAATTGGGACTATCAATTTCATCAGATCCACCATTTAGTCTTGTATTCATCACAGATGACAAACTTCTGATGTAATTCTCCATATTTGCAGCTAGTGCAGTCATTATATGGTTTTCTATACTTACTATATTATTGGTATCATATACTGTGTCGCTAGGATGACTTTCTTGTGCAACACCTGTTTGCAAGAGGTTTGCTAGTATTGGGTTAGCTTTTAACATCTCCTGTTTCACATCTCCATTTGTGTTTAGATTCTCTTTCTCACTTGTACTTGTGGTAACTAGCTTATCCATATTTTTTGTGTGTATCCGTCTATGCAATATAAACACATCAGGATCTTTAAAGCACTTTAAACATTCAGTGCATTTGTATGAGCTAGTTTCTAATTTTGTTTCTATTTTGTTTTCAGGTGGTATATTTTCGACTGCTTGTGTATTTAGAATTTGTTCAATAGTAGAAGACTTTGATGATGTAGATTCATCCGTGTTTAGCTGAGGGCCTGAAAATTTGATAATAGTAATAATATGTAATTAAGATTTTAATTTTTCATCATATTTTGTTCTAGAATATTGAATGAAATTTCCTAGATTATGATAGTGTTTAAATGAGACGCCAAAATACAAGATAGGTTACTAGTTAAAAGTCCACCTATGTTTTGTTACATCACGATTTTCTGTTGAACTGTTTATTTATAATAATTGTTATTTTATGGGAATTTACTTCCATATTAACGTAAGATAAAAACTTAAATATTTTTTTAAAACTACTGCAAAAAGTTGTATTTTTATATCACACTACTCCATAAATAAAACAGTAAGGAAGAACTCTTAAATAGAGGTAAGTATTACCATTACAAGTATTCAAGTTGTAGTTATCCGTGGTAGAAGCAGCCTGTATGGCAAGCATTGTCTGAACATAGATAGCTTGTGCCATTTGCTGTTGCATCTGTAACAGACAGAAAATAGTTTTAAATTAGTGCCACATTTTAAGTGTCTTCAATTGTCTATCTTCAGCAACTGAATGCAAATAATTGCACACACATTACTTCATAATAACACAGATCTGTTAAATATAATTCACTTGTTTAATATAAAAGAAAAACAATTTTTTACCACACACCAAATTTATTTATTTACTTTGTACACAGTATTTTGTAATAATACTTTAACTTAATTCAAATTATTGGGCAGTAATTTGACAAGTTGAATTAAGACTGCTAAATTTAGGATTTGTGTGAGTTTATATAAGTTAATACTGTTGATTTAAAAGAACATAAATGATATTGCAATTCAGCAATGATATGCCTATATGCTAGGGTTGTAACACTATGTTCGTGCCCGCATCTGTTCTTTTGTCAGTGCATTAATCTTTGGTAGACTTTTGATCATTAATGTTGCATGTTTATGTGTCAACAACACCACCATCACCACCACCACTACCACCACCACCACCACACTCAGCATACGGTCTGAGTTTTCTGCTTACATCGCTAGTTTATGCAAACAAAAATAGACAGTCAAAGAAGAATTAAGATTAAGAAAGAAGAAGAAGAAAGCATTGGTAGAAGATGAAACATGTTTTTTCTCCAAAATTAAATGGTAATGTAGCCCTTCAGATATGCCATAAATGTATACAGGTGTATACTCATCTGAAGGAAAATTACCACTCCTTAAGACTTAATAGATGGTCAGTCATCAGAGTCTAGCCTAGTAAAATAGTGAATAACACTATTTTTTTATGTATATTTAGGAAAATTAAATGTCAAATTCTACTTCCTACTAATATTATAAGTGTGAAAGTATGTAAAAGTGTTTGCCAGTTTATTTATTACTCAATTGTGCTAAAACAGCTCAACAGATTTGAATTAAATTTGGTACATAGGTAAACTATATATAAATATTAATAATATTTTAAAATAGGATAATTTAGATTTGTGTATAGTTTAAAATTAACCATATGCCAATTAACAATGTCCACATTAGTGGTGGGTATTTATAACCTTTTATAATTAGAAGTAAATTATTTAAATATAAGAAAATCTCAACAATTATTAAATCTAAACATAAATACTACAGTCAACTCTATAAACTAGAAATATCTATAAGATAGATCAGCATACCTGTGATTCCAAAATATTTGTTGTTAGAGTGTTTGATGTCCATGAGCCAGAGTTTCTAGTCCTTTGGCAAGGCGCTGGTGTTTCTGATGGCAGATTTTGAGATGGAATTGCATCCTTACGTAAAGTTCTCCATTGACCTGAAAATGGTTTGATATCTTTATAAAACACCATGCCATGTAATGTTCCATTGTCATTATAATAAACAAACTCAATTAGCTTGTATTACTATAAGGATATCATTTCATGGAGGCTTCCTGGATTAGTGCAGAAGTTACATGGATTCATTATCCAGCCCTTTATTACTGTAAATTGTAAACAATAATGAGAAATACAAAAGTATGTTTTGAGGTCTATAGCTTCAGTTTTCAATAATAAAGTTCATAAGATCTAGCAAAAATATACCATAAAATACACTAAGGCTTCTTGGGCAAAAATAACACAAGTAGCTCTTATAACTGATAATTTTCAAAGACTATTGTAGTATAGTGAAGTACCCATAGAGCTATAAACAACATCCGACGGTTCAGAGAATCAACATTATATTTAATGTATTATGAATTTTATGAACCACCACAACTTCATTTTCTTCTCAATTTGCAGGGCCACGTATAAAAAATATTTTAATAATTAGAACGGTACGAAATTAAAATCACGTTTTTTGTCTAGAAATCAAACATGCGTAGGTAACTAACATTATTTTCGTGTGTAAATACCTACCTTTATTCTTTCCTACACTTGTGATTGTGTAATCTTCGGGTTTGAAGTGTAAACTACATACTTTTGAGTATTTTGTATACGGCTTGCCTCTCCTTAGTATTTCATTCCATAATTTAGCTAATTTTTCGTCCCTTGGGAATTGATGAAAAGATACATTTTTGGCCTTCCCAGCCATGGAAGTACACCGAGGAACAGTGCAATAATAAGGCATTTTGTAAATTCCAAAGACGATACTGTACAGTAATTTACATAATTATATATTTTCTTATAGTTGATTTGATTAACTACACATAAAAATCACAAAAACAAACAAAACTTCGCGCAATAAAAGTAAAGCGGCGATACATCAAAACAAAAAAACTCTGTTGTTCTCCTATCACAGATTAAATAATGTTTTTGTTGCCATTTCAAAATTATTTATTGTTTATGATATAAACATAGACGATTTAGTCAAGCATAGTTTAGATTATTTTTGTTTTTCTAATTAGATATCACTATTTTTAATAAATATTAATTTGTTTCTTCTTATCTTTCCTAAACAACTATTTACAAACATATTTCCTGAAATAAAAAACTACGTATATAATTGCTTATTGCATAATATTTCTTTCTAAGAACCACATGTGTTAGTCGTAGCGACACTTGTTAAATTATCTTGACATTTAAATGAACGTTGATGTGCATATGTAATTTATCTTAGCATTTATCGTTTGAAAAAAAGAGAACGTGATAACAACTATTTTTTATAACTTGTTTAACAATAACTTTGCGTCATTCAAGAATATCCCGTTTCGACAACCATTTTCGAATTGTCTATGGTATAGTGGCCATTTTTTTCTGAAAAAAGTGGGAAGTGGGGAAGGGAAAAAAGGTGATACATGTCAAATTTTTCAAGGCTGTTCTGTGATGATTCCATTTTTTTACCAACGTGATAACGTTTGCGTTCATTAATTGTTATTTTTATGCGCACACAACGCAAGACAATATTGTGTATTGATGTGAAATAACATTTCGGTGGTGGCTGTCGGCACAGCGAACTTTGGTGTTTGTTAACAAAGGTTTTTTTGGTGACAAGATGGGTTATTATTGCACAGTGCCTCAATGTACTTCGCTCGCCGGCAAGACCAAGAACGTGAAATTCCACCGATTTCCACGAGACGTGACAATGGCCGACAAGTGGAACTTGATTTTGAAACGCGGCAAACCATACACGAAGTATTCAAAAGTTTGCAGTCTTCATTTCACTCAATCTGACTACAACGTCACTACAATGGGTAAGAATAAAGGTATTTGGGTTTTTCCATGTCTGGTTAGCTCTGCACGACTATCGCCCTAATGACTCACATCTCACGAGTATATTTTGCATTATTATATCACAAATTTCGTTTTATAAAATTTACATTAGTCTGCTTCAGACTGACAAATTTCACCAAACATCATTATAGTGTTTTTCTTATGGTAACTTACCTTTGTAAATGTTTGCCAACAAAAACATGTTAGTACTAACTTTGACAATTAAACATTCATCTATAAGCATGTATATACATGGATATGATTCTAATTTGAATCATTAATGATACTTAACAAATCCAGAACCAACCAAAGTTATCAAGCATTAAAACAAAGTTTTTCTGATGTTTAATATTTCATAGAAGGTCATATAATTGCTATCTGAGTTTGACTAACATAGAAATTGTAAAAATTTTATGACTTTGAATAGGGGCTAGTTTTTGTATAATACCATCATTAAGAAAAGGTTGTAATATTATAGTTTATTTATTAAAACTTTAACACAGTAAATTTCTATGAGCATTTGGTGGACTTAACACCTGATGGTGTTCTCTAATAGTCAACCATTGGGTAAACTGAGGAATAAGTAGGTGGTGCATAATTGAATAGAGAAAAATAAAGCAATACTGGATATATTCATATATTATAAACATATAATTAGATTAATATATCATCATCATAATTTCAGTCATAGACTAATATGTACATACACAAAATATTAATATATCAAATAATTAACTGTAATAGAAAAGCAAATAACAATCATTTGAATTTGAATCATTAGTAAAAGTATTTAAGGTCTTTATTTATGAAATGAATAAAAAAATTGAGAAGAGTAATAGACATAAAATACCTCCTTGAGGAACACCAATATTTATATTATACCAGTCAGAAAAAGAATGACCCTGTTGGTTGTTCTTTTCGAACAGCTTGCTGATATCCTCAAAGTCTATAATGTATAGTTGTTACGAAAACTTATGTTTACTTTCTTTAGGTAATTTAGGTTATATTTGATAAACATAAAATATTATTTATATTAGAATATAACCATTATAGGAAAAATATGTGAGCATTGCCATGATATTTTTGGTTTTATCCATGAGTCAGTATAAACACGGAGTAAACAATGAGTTATCCTATAATTCATTGTTTTCTCCATCTAAATATGTTATTTCAGTTATATAATTAATTAAATATATTAAGATTTGTTATTTTAATTTTCATGTGATTTAAAGACTAATAATTATTATTGAAATATTATAGTTTATTTTCTAATTACAGGCATTGATACATACTGCCCTATATTTCACATGCATGCAATTCAGAAAGAGATAGCATTAATGTTTAGTGGCAGTATTAATCTGCTAGGGAGTGGTATATAGCAGTGAGTAACATAAGAGATTCATTATTTTGTATCATGTATATATATATAAGGTGCTTGAGTATAGAATAAGTTCTCTCTGTTTTTTTTTTTTTTTTTTTGTGAAAATCAATGCTTTATTTACACAATGTGGTGCACAACACGTCACTCAAAGTACAGCCCATCATAAGACACTACTTTTTCCCATCTTTCTGGCAGCAAATGAATGCCTCGTCGAAAAAACGAAACGTCTTTTGTGGCTATCCAAGCATCTATCCACATCTTCGTATCTTCATAAGAACGGAAGCGCTGTTCAGCCAGGCCTTGTGCCATTGAACGGAATAAATGAAAATCAGAAGGGGCTATGTCCGGTGAATATGGCGGGTGGGGAAGAACTTCCCATTTAAGGATTTCCAAGTATGTTTTCACCGGCTTTACGACATGTGGCCGAGCGTTGTCGTGCAACAAAATCACCTTGTCATGTCGCTGCTCGTATTGCGGCCGTTTTTCCTTTAGGGTTCGGCTCAAACGCATCAATTGCAGATGATAGCGATCTCCCGTGACGGTTTCCTTTGGTTTGAGAAGCTCATAATAAACAACGCCCAGCTGATCCCACCAAATGCAAAGGAGAAGCTTCGAACCATGGATATTTGGCTTTGCGCAGGGTGTTGATGTATGGCCGGGCTTACCCCACGATCTCTTACGCTTGGGGTTACCATACTGGATCCACTTTTCATCGCCCGTCACGATACGGTGAAGAAAACCTTTCCTCTTCTGACGTTCAAGCAGCAGTTCACACGTGAGACGCCTCTGTTCGATGTCTCTCGGCTTCAGCTCGTACGGCACCCAATGTCCTTCCTTCTGGATCATTCCTAATGCTTTCAAACGTTTGGAAACTGTTGAGTCATCCACTCTTAATGATTTTCCAAGGCTGGCTAGCGTCTGACACGCGTCTACATCAAGTAATGCCTCCAATTGTTCGTCTTTAAACTTTTTCGGTGCGTCAGAACGTTCTTTATCTTGAAGATAAAAATCGTCATTTTTGAACCGTCGAAACCAGTCTCTGCAAGTCGTTTCCGACAGAGCATGTTTCCAATACGTCTCAACAAGAATTCGGTGTGCTTCAGCTGCTGATTTCTTCTGTATAAAATAATGCACTAGTGTTCAAGAATACGAACAGTATTTCCTGGAAATGTGTTCGTTTCAGAAATATCATCCACTTATATTACTGGAAATGCCATCTGTTAGAAAACAGCGAGAACTTATTCAAGCACCTTATATATATATATATATATATATACAATGATTACATAAAGTTATTTGAAACATGATACTGTCTTTGACTGTTTTTTATTTCATTGAATTGCAAAAATTACAGATTGTTACAGTATGCTACATATATTATTTTTATGTGGCGATTTAATTGGATCATTAACTGTTAAATAGAATATTACTCAATAGTAATAACCCTTGTAGAGTATCTCTATTATAGAAATAACATTGTATAAAATGAACAAGTATCAAAAATAAAAAGATCTATTGATTGATTATATATTTATATATTATAGCTTTTACCTGTAATATCATCCACATAACTAACTGACTGAGAGGCCAACCAATGAACTCTACTAGGGGGGTAGGATTTTTGAATAGGTTTGGAATATATCATGTGTCAGAAGTGAAATTTACATATTCCACATGAAATCATAGTCACTCCAGCTACATTGCTTCATAAAGATAGCTACAAATCACTACTTGAAATCACAATTGTTGCTCTGTTCAAATTTATTAGTGAGTCATCAACTGCACTCTATTAGATGTGAAGTAAAATGGATAGCTGGCTGTACAGAGCCAGCAAATAAAGATTTTATCACACTGCATTAATGTGTCTATTTGCTTGCTCTTATCATAATCACAATTCATATTTCACATTCAATAGCAAATAGTAACAAGTGTGATTTTAAGTCATTGTGAGCAAAAGTTACTTTTTGTGATTTCTTACTGTTATGCCTACTCTTGAATCAATCTATTACCAATGAAACAACAATTAGGTATCTAATTTAAATTGAGATTGTATTTGCATTGGCTATTTTACATGTACAACAGCCTAAATGAGATACTTAATGCACAAATAAGAGTCTAATTTGCATTTTTTTCCATTAGCAAGTTATACAAATATGTCACAATAATGACCTGTATAAATTAATTATAATTTTAATTAAATGACATTTTAATTTCTTTAATGATAATGCATAATGTAATTTGGTACAAATGTTGGTAGTGTTGCAATTTGAAATATCACAATTCTAATCCTGCTAGTAATCCTGCTGCTTTATCTAAGACAGCTTCTAATTAGGTTAACAAGGTAGTATAGGTATCAAAGTATATATATATATATATATATATATATATATATATATATATATATATATATATATATATATATATATATATATATATATATATATATATATATATATATATATATATATATATATAATATAGCACAGTATTAAGTTCTATTATGTGTAATTATTTAAAAGATGGACTATCGTGTATGTTAGAAGGAAGTTTGTTCCACAGTTCTGAAGTAGGGAATGAGAAGGAATTAAAAATAAAAGGTTTTATAAGTAGGGAGTTCCAATACTTTGAACTGAACCAGGCTAACACACCTGAGACCTATATGTTAATTTTTGGATTTATATGTTAATTCTAATGTATATATAAACCAATAATATTACCAGTAAAATTTTATATTCTAGACAATTCATGAATCACTATTAATGATTTTTAAATTATCTAAATGATTTGGTAAATTTTATACTACTACCAAAGGATTTAGAATCAGGATTTCCTATTATATTGGGAACTAGCTGTCATATTTATTTTATATAAATATGACAGCTAGTTTCCATATTACAAATTGCCCTCTATCTGTAATTCTTAATAAACACATGTATGTTTTGTATAATTATTCATTTTAACTACTTAGCTGTGCTCCTGATTTCGTTTGTGTCAATAGATGACAATAGGGACACTATCGCTGGTATGTCTGCTTTTTATTATGGAAACTATCAATTTTATTGGCATTCTATGGAAAACATTGTCATATATTTTGTAATTACTATTACGGGTCTGTTCAGGTTATATTCATTTGTAGTTAAGGGGTGTGTAATTTAGTAATAAGAACATTTAGTTGCTACTGTCACATACTGATGTATGTGACAGATGACAGACACATGGGACTAGAAAAAATGTTATCAGTTCAGTGGTTAATATAATAAAGGAAATGGGTTAAGAAAAATGTATTACAAAAAGGAAGCTTGTTTTAATTTCATTGTCAATGCAACACAAAGGGTATATCAATAATTTAATTGAATAAACATAAGTACAGAAGTGATAATTGTTCAAACAAATTTAAAATGTCTGATAATATTAAAATTGGAACCCAGATCTGAACCCTGTAATACACCATGATATATTTATATATTACCATTTGGGCATATTTTAACTAAAACTAAACCTTTCAAGTTCTACCAGATAAATAGGAATTAAACCACAAATGAAAAGAACAATGACTAGAATGTTTTCAAGATGTACTAGATATTTTGTGTGTGGAACATTAAAAATTCTTTC